TTCAACGAGCGAACGGATGATATCCCGGAATATAGTGTCATCATATATATATATATATATATATATATATATATATATATATATATATATATATATATATATATATATATATATATATATATATATATATATATATATATATATTCTCACGTATTGATTCACGGATGGAAAAATGTGATGACACTATATTCCGGGATATCATCCGTTCGCTCGTTGAACTCCGATTAGAATCCTGCAGACGTTTCGCCAAAATCTCACTTGGCATCTTCAATGCTCGCGCTCCGAGTGTTCGAAGTGTTTTCGGAGCGCGAGCATTGAAGATGCCAAGTGAGATTTTGGCGAAACGTCTGCAGGATTCCAGTCGGATGCAGGATTCCAGTCGGAGTTCAACGAGCGAACGGATGATATCTCGGAATATAGTGTCATCATATATATTTATATATACATGAAGTAAGCAGCTATGAATATATCTATATATATATATATATATATATATATATATATATATATATATATATATATATATATATATATATATATATATATATATATATATATATATATATATATATATATATATATATATATATATATATATATATACAGTGGGGTTCCTACAGCTTCTGCGGCATCCCACATTTCGACCTCCATTTATCTTCATTCATCTTCTTTAATTGCTCTGTCCTTCATTATATTTCTTATACCATCGTTCCATGAGATTTTAGTATTTTTTTTGGCTCATCGTTCGTTCTCTGTTCTTCTTCATATTTCTTCATTCCTGAAGTGTTCTACTCTCGACACTTGGCATGCTCTTCTCAAGAAACCCATTTCTACTGTGTCGATAACTTGCTTGTCGTTCTTCGTCGTTTGCCAGCATTCTGCGCCGTCCGTTAAGATGGGTTCCACAACTGCTTCATATATTCTAATTTTCGTACATGTTTTAATATCGTTGGACCACAGCAAGGAATTAAGCGTTTGAGTTGCTCTTCTTGTAATTTGTAGCTCTTTTTATTCTCCTAATATACGACGACGAAACTATCTATACAAATAATAGAAATACTATAATATAATCTATCCTTAAACAGTGCAAAGAAACCCAGTTTTCCTTTTGATTGTTGTTGTAAACCTTAACTTTTGCGTTGTTAGAATTGGTCTAGGAAAAACATGTTTTTCTGGTGTGGTCACGTTGTTATTTAAGATTTAAAGTTTTCTTGTAGATCTGATAATCATGATTGGTTTAGATTCTAAGGAAACACCTTTTTTGAATGACACCGAAAAAAATTATAATTACTCAAGAGGAAACGACAAACTAACCAAAAGAAAAATTCCCAATAAGAAGGTCTCTTTTAATACGTCTGGCTGATGTGAATATTATGACATTAAATTCCCATGATCAATTCGAAGTCAATTATAGGGTCAAACTCAAATAATAATCACGTGAGAAGCACCAATTTTGACGTTACTTTGACGTATAAACACACCCGGTTTGGTCGCATAGGGATAATGATTATATGAATTTGTACGTCAAATATTGTTCCTGCGGCATTTTTAACAAACAGCTAACATTGGTGCTTTTAGCAGTTCACAGTATAAAATATCTGTGACGTGTGAACATCTAGGGTTGTTCAAATAGTAGTAATTCAAATTACTCGAGGTTGACATTATGGTAGCCATAGGAATTCTGCTAAATGTGAAGTTGCAGATGTTTTTTTTTTTGGTGGGGGGAATTATTTTTATTTTTTACTACTTGGACTAAAATCCAAATACGTTTCGTAAAAATATTTATTTTTGCAAAATAAATATAAAACATACCTTTTGAATTGTTTTGTTTTTTTTCCGTTTGCCCTGATCATATTGGTCAGTCAAATTTGTTTGATAATTTAATTAGGTTCCTTATAAACCCTAATAAGAAATTATTACATATTAAGTTGATTTGCTAACTAACCAAAATTAATCATTTGGGTGTATTAAGATCGCCAAAAAAAGTAAAAACATGTTACCTACGATTTTTGGTAAAGCATTTGTTACGTCAATCGTAAGCATAAAATTAGGTAATTAACTGCACCATATGACGTCGGCTGCCGACGCCGAGTCACCTATGACGACGTCAGCACACATCAAAATGCCTATTGGATAGTGCGAGCAATGGAAACAAAAACCTATATAATAAAGAAAAGATGGCCGGGATGGTCTAGGAGAAATTGTAAAGTTTTGACGAGTTGCCAAGGAACGCATTACTAATTTCATTATTGCCGCGAAATTCCTTTTAGCCGGGATTGTAAACATTCTTTTTTTTATTACTTTCAACAAAAGTAAGCCCGACTCAAACAAACATAGGATAACGTATTGGGAAAACGAAAATCTTTCGAGAAGGTTACCGATTCTTGATATTAGAGAATGACGTTCTCCAAAGAATTGATGTTCTGTCTGTGTCTTATTGTGTTATTTTACTAGTAAGTGCCCGTAACAGTACCAAAACAATTGTAAAAGTAAATTAGAAAAAAAATGTTAGGTCACTACGAGATTTGTTTAACAAGAATTAGATCTTTTTTTATTACACTAATAAAGTTCCACTTTAAATATTAGGTATATTATGAAAATAAGTTTGATAAACGTAATTTTAGTAATATTATTTGCACGAGCGAAGCGAGTACTTAATAAGGAAGTGACTGAAGAAGTTTATCAACTTTTTCTACGACTATTGGTTTTTAGCTACATTATTGCAAAACTACCTGAATAAATGTAAATATGACATGTGACGTGACTGTCAGATTTGACAAATGTTAAGGTACATGTATATGATCATAACAAAAAACAACGCCCAGCAAGAACACCTTTGTGTAGATGAACAACAATTAGAGCGGATTGCAAAATATTATTATTTGTGTGCAAATATCACCTCTACTGTCGAATACTGTTCCGAAATCAAGATCCGCATAGAGAAAGCACGTGCAGCATTTGTCAAAATGAAAAAGATGCTCTGTAGCCGCGACCTGAGCCTAGATCTTAGAGTATGCATGCTGAGGTGCTATGTATGCCCAGTGCTGTACTATAGCGTAGAAACATGGACCTTTAAATATCGTGGATGGAGCACACGACCAACGTAGAAGTGCTTAATCAGGATGAACAAAGAGTTAAAGAAGTGAAAAGGAGAAAGATCTTCTATCTGGATCACATAATTCGGGGTTCAAAGTATGAGCTACGTCACTTGATAATCCAGGGAAAGAAGATTAATTGGAAGAAGAAGAATATCCTGGCTGCGGAATCTTTTCAGAGCAGTGGTTTCCATGGTCAGCATTGCCATGATGTTAGCAAACATGGAGAAGCAGCATGAAAAAGAAGAAGGTACCATTGCTAAAACCTACCGAACAATCCGAAACCGATGGGAAAGTGGTTCGTGGCCGTGGTGTAAGAAGCTGAAATTTTATAGAAACCCTTTCCACATGCTTGGTCCGTGCATAATTGAGAAGTAGGATGTAAAAATTTTCACCTATCAGGTTTAAGAACTTAAGCACATTGAATTTCATTTTGATGCTAACACTTAGGTGCTTTAGTGATTTTATAACCTATAGAGGTGCTAGAAATGTAAATTTAAAAAATATTGTGGTATTTCAATATATTGAATGACATTTGTACTGAGATTTGTTAGGCAGTCCCTTTGCATTTTTAAATTTAAATATGGGCATACCATGACAGTTTGTGATTTCAAGGCAAAGTTGTTTAAATACCACGATTCCCTCAATTTTATAGTTTACATATAATTTAAATATTACATTAAGAACCAGAATATTATAAATAATAATTTGTCGCTATAAATACAAATAAATAAATTAGAATGTATATATATATATATATATATATATATATATATATATATATATATATATATATATATATATATATATATATATATATATATATATATATATATATATATATATATATATATATATATATATATATATATATATATATATATATATAATCAATAACTGTCACAAAGACAAACATGTAAAAACCTTTCGCTTCACATAAATAGTAAATATTTGCGGTCAGTAGTTAGTTGATGTTAACTTTATTCCTTTATTCTTGGAATGGCCGATTGGCAAACAACAACAGATGTTTCTTGGTTCAAAAAAGCCATATGGTGTATAGCAGGTATTTCCAAATCTTCATTCAAAACCTATTTTAAAAAATTTAATATTTTAACATTGTAGGTACAGTCTGTATGTGTTTGAAATGTGTGTGTAGATGTTTCAAGATAAATTAGTAATAAACAATAGTAAAATAGTAATTTTCACTAGGCGAATAACAAAAACTAAATCTCAAGTGTAAGTAATGTGCGATTTTTTAATCTTTAGGCGCCTTTTCTTTGACAATTTCCCATGCAAAATTACGGATTTGGCAAATAATAATAATAAATAAAGAATATAATTATAATTAACGAACTAAAACTTTACTAAAACTGCCTACTAGAATATTTACAGAGAAATAATAATAATAATATTAATAGGCAGGAGAGTCCCCCAAAATTCCTTGGTCCCCCCCGACCAAGGGATTTTAAAATTTCAATACCCGTATGCTTGAGTTGTTTTAAATCTCATTTTTGGTAGTAGAAATACTTTTTGGCGTTCATCAATAAACATGGCAACTGACATTCAGCAAATTTTTTGCATAAAAAGAAGGTAAGTGTAATGGGAAAATTTGTACGAAAATGTCATAGCCGCATGTTTTGCATACATTTTTAGTATATTATGGTAAACGGCATTTGAGTCACCAGTTAATTTGGCACGAGCGAATCGAGTGTTTTTGGGAACATTTTTTTGAAGTAACACGAATATATTCACTGACATGACCGTCAAAATTCATTCAAGAAAACGTTATTTACAGCTCCTATACTTTCCATTTTTTGGTAATTACATTAAAACCATTCAGTTTTATTATTTTTTGAGCGATTGTTCAGTATCCGAGAACTTTAAGTATATCAAGTTTTTTCTCACCTTGGAATCGATACCGATGATACGGCTACATTTCTCGCAGGCGTTCGCGAACACTGATTCGTAACATGATACGCAATATGGATGATCGTCCCGAAGGACGTACCTCTGACCCGTCAGACTTTCGTCGCATTGCCAACAGCAGAAGTGCTGCGCCTGCCAGTCCTTATTGGTGCTTTTGTTGTAATCGTTTCTGAAAATCGGCTGCGAACAAAAAATATATACATACTATGATTCGATGATCTTGTGAAAGAGGATGAAAATTTCATGTTCGACCTCTAGATCGTCACAATTGTCGCTAGATCATAGTTTCTCAACGTCAAAGGCTTAGCGTTAAAGTATGTGGAAGGTTGCAATGTGTAAAAAATAATTAACTCGGTTCAGGTCAATTTCTGACATATGCCTTTCGTAAGGAACATTGCGAATCATGCCTCATACAAATGTCGCTGATTTCGGAGATACAGGGCGCCCAATATTTTAATTTTATAGTATAAAAAAATTGCAGGTTTCTTTTACAATTACGAATTGAAACTTATTTGGACGTTGCTCCTAAAGGTTTTACCATATTACTTATATCTGTCGAGTTCTGGTTGAAACATGATGGAAATCTGAAATAATTTTCAATTTTTCGTAGAAAAGCCGTCTAACTCCGTCGGTTATATAGATTTTGAAAATTTTTAAAAAATACTGAAAAGATTAAAATCTACAGAGAGCATTAAAATGAACATTTAAGTCAAATGTTGAAATATCATAATATTTTTCTTTATAAGTCAACCTGTTTTTTTCTTTCAACTCAGTAGATAACCTGTTCTTGCTTCTCTGGGGACTTAACTAAAGGCAAATAAATGAATCTATTTCACGCTATAGAAATTTAACCTTCCACTGAAAATCTGGGGATATTTTCAAGTGCCCATAACTTTTTATTTCATATTTTTCAGTTTGAGTGCCGCTGTTGTATTTAGCAAGTCATTTGTTCTTTCAAAATTCGTACTTATGTCAGAAACTCCTTGCCTGATTAAACCAAATCCAGCGCTTTCGTATGTGTGAAAAGCAAAGTGGTTTCAGTAAAACGACTTCCTCCGTTTTTAAGTTAGTATTTTATAGTATAAATATTAAATTTATGTTGGTAATTGGTGACAAATGCTAACAAATAATTAAAAAATAATAAAAGAACAAGTATTAACAATTATTACAAGAACAAGAGATTGATCAAATGGCGAATTTTTTCCTCCTCATTTTTACGACATTCTTATTCTAATATAAGCTGTAATGAAGAGGTAGGGGTTTTTTTTCTTATTTGGGGGGAGGGAGGTTGAGAAACACCGGTCTATATATTAATGCAAAAAAAATTAACTAGCGATAAAATAAAAAAACGAAGCGACATTCGAACACAAAAAAATATTCTCTAATTAATAGAAAATACTAAATTAAAAACAATATTGAATTGAATGTTTGAGAAAAAACACACCAGAGCGATGCAGGTTGATATAAACGTAGGTCAGAAAATGATGAAATGATTTTTTTTTAATTTGTTGTTATCATTTGTAATGATAAAAGGGTTAACTAGGGATTAAAATTATGAACTGACTTTCCGGTGGGTATCTTAACGAATATTGTTGTCAAAAAGGGTACGCCACTGACTGTTTGTTATCAGCTCTGTATAAGGCACTAAAGATGTTAAAATATCCAGTTTGAGGACCTTGCATATATTTTTGGGTCCTTTGATATACAATACAAACTTAGTAATAAAACTTACACTAAAGAAAATGATGATAATGACCGCCACCAACTTAGGAGGACGTAAGGATTGGCGCACTCAATTACAAAACCCTTTTTTTTAATATATGGCGAATCGTATCTTTGAAATGAATTTCCAGAATTAGTTTTTTTTTTGTTCGTGACGTAACTTTAGCCGAGCGTTGTTGCATATTTTTTAAGACACCCTATATAAAATTACTAAATAAATTTCAATGAAGTCACGATATTCGGACATTTTAAGGAAACGGAAAAGAGAAAAAAAAATCAAACAGTTAAAATTTTAAAGATATTATAACAAAATAGGACATATGAAAAATGAATAAGGACAACTTGGGAACGAAACATACATATTTAACGTAAACTGCTATGCAATTTTCCCAGGCTAAACACTGTTTCTCAATATTGTTTAATCCGGAAAACGCCATAATACTACCGAGTTTTCCAAAGCCAAGGAAAAGTTGCCAAGCTTTTTATTTATTTTAATTTAATTATTTCCAAGTGGTTTACATTTAGCCGTTCCATACGTGCCAGAGCTGAGATTCGAGACGGTTACTTATTTTTGGCAGTGTGAGAAGTGTACCGGATTCGATCGGAATCCAATATACCCGCTGGTCAATCGAAGAAACGAAATAAATTAATATACTGATTTGATTTGTTAAAATTAATACCGGCTTGAAATTAATCAAATTAATTAAATAAACGTAAACTGAGATGATATAAGCGTTTATAAAATTTATTCGTATATCTGGTCAGCATTCGAATTAACAACGCATGCGCATTAGTCAATTCCGTTTATTATCGAACAGCTATCTACTTGGCAGATTTGGACGTTCAAAGCAGATTAGTAAGTGCTATAAACAGAAAAGAATTAGCAGGTGACAGCAAACATTAATAGTGCGTATTAGCAGACAACTAAACGAATAACACAAGATACAATATTCAGACAACACAATATAAAACACGCAGATTGTTTCACATTTGTTTTGCATGTATACCTTTGGTTTAGTCGGGGGTATGTGAGTGGCATGTTTGATGAAGTAATCGGACTGTATTTATCTTAGATACGCCACAAGTGGAAAGGTGCCTTTAGTTTGTGTTACTGACATATAAACAACAAGAAGGTTATCATACTCGTGTGGAGTTTGACGTAGGGTGCAAAAATATCGAAGAATTCGACAACCCGTGCGGTTAAAAATCAAAATCGCACCAGCGGATGCGATGGTTCTATTTTTATTAATGAGGTCAATATCCATATTTATTGTAAATGCGCGTGGTCATGGATCCTGCTCCAGAAACGTTATTTATCGGTGTTATGTTTCTTTCGAAATACAAATTGGCAAAAGATGTCGTGTTAGCGTTACGAAAGTGCAGTATCTTGGCAAAATACGATAAAATAAAGCGCCTGACACATCTTGCGCCTAACCACAGCAACTTTAGACGCGAGGCTGTCATGGATTTCTCGTAGAAGTTTGTCAACTACAATTATAATAAATGTTTGGAGACCATCGTTAAAATGTTGGATGATCTAGCAAAATACTTGAAAAAGTCTCAGCTCTCCAGCTGTTCAAATGTGATTACATTAATCATGATCGGTTTAAGTGCATTCCTCAATAGGGTTACTAACCAAAACTAATTCTTTGCTAAAATATAAACCAATAAAAGCGTGTTTTAGAAATAATGAGGTCATCTCTGTGCAAGAAGGTTTGGTTAGCAAGAATAAAAAGACGAAGTAACAAAATACATAGACGATTCATTCATCTGATAAGCAAGATGTAATATTCACTACAAAACGAAAATGATATCAGCAAACTATAGTCGATTGTCTGCGTCGAAAATTAAGCTAAAGAAAACCAATTTAGCCATGACACTGACACTCGAGAAAATGTTACTAGACATTTCTCATTCATTGATTTGAATAAGATCTTAGAAGCTCCATTTCTATACCCGTTAATGATGATTAATTGCATTAATCACGTGGATGCCATAATGCAATACTTGCTTTTCTAAAAAAACTACTCGATATACACCACGGTATTTGTGTGTAAAGGCAAAGAATTTTTTTATTGAATTCTGAATTTATACCATATTTTTTTTGCGACTACACCATCAGCTGCAACTCTTGATGTTCCTTTTTGGTAATTCAAGTAAGTATAAGTAAGTTCGTCCGAAATCACCTCTTGTCTACTAGGCTCATCTGTTCAAGCACAAAAATGAAAGGGAAGTTACTTCTTTCAAGCGCTCACCAGGGATGTGATGTACTACATCCCATTCGATCCAAAGATCTGGTATAATAGAAATCATTTAATATTTCTTTGGTTTTCCCAACTTGTGATAATAAGTTTCATTAGTTAATGAAAATAGTAAATTTTTTTTGAAAATGATATTTATTTTTTCACATGTTTACATAGCAAGAAACATTATCAATAAGTGTAATAACAATTGTACCAGTTGATTAAATACATACTTTATGAATGAATTGAAACAATTCGGAAAATATTGACGCAGTTCGCTAGTTTTATTAATTAGTAACGGACTTATTAATTTCTCTTTATTTCTTTATTTATGTACATAATATTTAGATTAAATACTTCAGAATCCTTAACCAAAGTTCGTATATTAATGTTGGTCTATTAGAGCTTGCTGTGGGCCAGTTGATCTCACGGCCGCAGCAAAGTGGTTCTTGGTTCGACTGTTACTCCTTAGTTCATTTGATCACCAATAGCAGTTGCTTTCTTATTGCATGATCCGTTAATAATCAAATGGAATGAACTAACCTAATTTATTCGGGCACAAGAACGAAACCGTGAGAGGGTAGTTACTTTTGTTAATGGCTAAGCTGTGTACTACATCCCATTCGATCCCAAGATTTGGTATAATAGACATTTACCACTCAGTATTTCTTGATTTTTACAAATAGTGATAATTGAAACTTGCGTTGTTCGTGCTTTGTGAAAGGTTTACTTTTTTGGAAATGAAATTTAGTTTTGCGGACGTTTACACAGCCAGAAACATTATCAATAAGTGCAATAACAGTTGTACCAGTTGTAATCAGTGTCACTCGTAAGATTAAATACATATTTCAAGTGAGAAGAGAAACAATTTGAAGAGAATTGAAAGAGTTTAATTGATTAGTAACGGGGTTGTTGATTTTTTCTGTATTTTTGATATTTAGATTAAATACTTCACGAGAATTCTACCATTTCCTGGAAGGCCTAGAGACAGGTTGGTCATTGCATAATTTACCAAAATTCGTATATTAATGTTGGTCTATTCGAGTTTTCAGTAGCCAGTTGACGTCACGGCAGCAGCAAAGTGGTTCTTGGTTCGATTCTTACTACATAGTTCATTTGATCACCAGTAGCAGCTGCTTTGTTATGGTGTGATGCGTTAATAATGAGCGTGTCTGAGTGTAATTTTTTCATAGCTTTATCAGACGTATAAATTTTATTCGGTTATTTTTAAAAGCGGGTAAAATTCGCTCCGGATGTCAAATTCCGTTCGCGCCAGTGTTATACGATTCTAATTTTATTTTCGTTTTCGCCGCGGGAGACTATAATATCACATTGCACCGAGTGACGCAAGCCACTGACGATTCGCACCGGACCTAATTTGTGAATGCGGCAACGCCGCTGATGTGCGATAAACAGGTCGGAGGAACTAGGGAAAAGCGGCGTGCTGGTTTTGAGATATTTAATTAATAAAATTAATTTAAACTATATATGTTAAAGTAAGGTGGTTCAACCATTTTGGCGACGATACTGATTACGTCATAGTTAACTAACGGAAGCATCGGTAACATGACAAAATGTTATTAGGGGTTACTCATTCATTAACTTCAATAATATCTAGACACCTTTAAGTGATCCCTTCTTAATTTAATTTTAATTTTGAATTGCATTTTCGCGTTTTTAAACTATGCAAAAAAACTTTTTTCATTTTCATCAAAATTTACAATTTACAAGAACCATATCTAAGAAGACGTAATCGAAAAAATTACGAAAAGAAACTTTTTAAGAATGCGTTTTCAAGCACCTTTAAAGAATGACATCCGTAATACCCGAACGCCAGAGAAAATGATTTTGTCTTCCAAAATTCTTAATAATTACTTGGCAGCCTGAAAATTCAGGGCGCGATATAATAGTGTCAACTATTTGTAGGTTTGCTAAGAAGAAGTAAACTATGATATCGACTACCAAACGATGATGATATCAGTAAACTATAGTCGATTTCGGGCGACGAAAACTAAATTACGTTCATCCATTTTGGCGACGATACTGATTACGTCATAACGAACCGAAGTAAACTTCGCTAACATGAGAAAATGTTATTAGGTCTTACTCGTTCATTGACTTAAATAAGATCTAGAAAATGCTTAAGTGATCTCTGTTTAATTTTTTTAAACTATACAATTAATTCGCTACGAAAATGAGTTTGTCTCCTAAAACACTTCTTTGACAATCTGGAAATTCAGCGCGAGATATTCAAATTCTCTTATTTGATTTATTTAATTAGTAGGGAACGAAGTTCTTTGTGTCTTTTGTTATTCTCAATAGAGTGACAGACTCAGGACATCCATTCCTAGGAGAATGTGTTTCCCTCCGGCTTTTTAAAGATATAACCATGCTTTAAAATCCGAAGGCTAAAAGTGACGCTCTTCAGTTTTTTCAAAACAACTCGAAAACCAAGATAAACAACCATTTCATTTATCATTTTTCTATCTTGGTCGAACCAGAAAGTCTTCTCCTTCAGTTTTTTCACAATGTTGCATACTATACTTTTTCTACGATCGTTACGATCGTTAGTTTTTGGGTACATTTTCGCAAAACAACACCAATACTGTCATATCAGTGAATGTAGAATTGACAAACGTCAACTAGCCAAATCCGTGTGGTAAAATCCCGGAAATGTCCGAAGTGGCTCGGATTCCTGGGAAACGAAACTGACGTGGTAAAGTGACGCTTCCTGCACGCTAGATCGGTGTATAATTAGGTATTTTACAGACGGGAGTAGAAAATAGTATATTATGCAACAAGTGACTCACGAGTTTATTTGACGCGAGCGGAGCGAGTTTTTAATAAACGAGTGAGTTTACCGAACGTGTTGCATACTATACTTTTTCTAGGACCGTTAGTTTAAGCAAAACAATACGAATACATTCACTGATATGACTGTCAGAATTGACAAACGTCAAAATTCAAAGAGTGAGAAATATCTCCGAAAACATCCGATTGTTCCCAAATCCGTGCGTTAAAATCTCAGAAATGTTCGAAGTGGCTCGGATTCATGGGAAACGAAACTGACGTGGTAAAGTGACGCTTCCCGCGCGTCTGATCGGTGTGTAATTAGTTATCTTACAGACGGGAGTAGAAAAAATGATTTACGTCATTAAGTTAGCAACAAAATTTTGTAAAACTTTGCTCATTTAAGTATCGCAAGGGTGAAAAAACAAGACCCTTTCCACTTGGGCTGCATCTGGTATATCATATATACGACTGAGATTTGTAGGCGCGGCGGAAGGTTCCCCGCTGGCTGTAGTGTTGCGCTACAAAGTCGGTTTAGAACGCGTTCGTCCGCGCCAACTTAAAAATGCCGTCACACATACCCCCTGGTTCCGTTGGTGCGTTGGTCCAACTCGGTGATGGTCACTTCGGTATTCCCCGAGTCGTTCTCCTCTCTGCGCTTGCTCACTTTTTTCACCTTTTTCGTTTTCTTCTCCGTGATTGTGAAATTGGTAGTGTATGCGTCGACGTCGCCCATTTTCCACGCGTCCCTTTTTCTCTTTTTCCGCTTTTTTTATCGGGAAAATCTGCCGAGGGTATACCAACCGCGCACCACCAACGGGCACCTATAACAACGATTCGCAACTGGGATTCTGTGAAATTGTGTGAAACTGTCCGGAGAGAGATGATTTTCCCGAGCGCCGGTATTTTTAGAAAATGATAGAAGAGCAGCGGGCCCGTGTGGTGCCGCGTGCACCAGATTTCGGCGACTGTTTTAAGAAGACGAAAACACATTAAATACTCCTTGACGTAATCCAGTAATTGTTGAGTTTTAGCGTTTTCGGCAAAAGAAATTGCGGGAAAACGGTCGCTGACGGACGCCTCTGGCCGATATATTTTTTTTGCTTTTAAAAAGAAAGTGTAATATAAAACCAGTCCGTCTAACTCAGTTGGCACCATATGGGAAACTTTTGCATTTTTATACAGTGTGTCCAATATAAGGATAGGGATGGGTAAATAAAGTTGCAAAATTTAAAGGTCAATAACGATGTACGACACAATATGATTTAACATTTTTTAAATCACAAAATATTAGTACATGGGGGATTCAATTATAACTTACTTTTTTACTTAAAATTTCTAAGGTTTTAAAACTAGACTCTTTAAAGTTTTTGTATGCATATTATTGATCTATTTTTCTGTAAAAATAAAAGCCTGAAAACATTTTACTACAGCTTCAAAGCATCAACAACGAGAAACAAATTTCAAAATTTCCGTTCCACGGTACTGACTTATTTATCCACGGTACTCTTTGTAGCATTTCATCAACTCCGTGTTTGTAAACAGATCTTAGATAACGTTTCATAAATCTCAAGGTACATTCCTCATATTATAAAGACAAAAATAATTGAGCCGTAATTCAGTATTAACTTAAATCATTAACCAAAAAAGTGTCAATTTTTTAGTTTAGTTACTAATTAGTAATTAGTTTAAAACATTTATTGAGACAAAAAAAAGTTACAGATAAATTTTGGAAACGGACATGGCACAGTACTGACATTTAGCTGATATATTATATATGATATAAAAAATACGATGAAATATATTCATAGGGATCTTATTAATACAAAAAATTCATTATACAAGCAATACAAGACATAAAGAATTATAGAGAGAAGACAACCGATTACAAACATTTTTGGACAATTAACCACAAATCTAAAGCAGTATGAAAAGTTTATGAAACTAATTTTATCCAGAAATAAACACTAAAATGATGAAACAGTAAATAATATATTGTTATTGTTAATTGCGATGAAGATAACGGAAGAACATTTTGCTAATAGTATTCTAGGAAGTGTCCATCTGAAATTTTTATTAGCTTCCCTTGATTAGTACTGATAATGTAGGTCGTATTGGTCATTTATAATTATTATAATAATTACAGCAGGTGTGATCATCAAGAATGAGAAAGAGGTGGTGTATATATATTCAGACTAGTAATTTAAAATAAAATACATATTACATATTTTATTTTCAATTCCAATATTGTTTGTTATGAATGTGAATTATTACTTATCAATTAAATTGTTTATCTTTTCATTAACAAAATAAAATGTTATATATGCATCAAATGTCTATATTCAAACGGAATAGCAAATTATGAAAATGCGCTCATTACAATACATTGCAAACACAGTTCGGCTGGACAAATTCCAGTGTGGTTTCCTTAAAAACAGTAGCATATTAAGCGCCAAGTTGTTAATAGATCTCAGAAAGACTTTTACGTCTTGTACGGATAGGTCAGCAAATATTTGGATTGGTTATATAGTAATATATTAAAAATTATCAATATACTATTAAATACTATAGATAATAAAATTATACCTATGATGTATTTTCCTATATGGAAACTTATAGCAAAACATATTTTCAAAGGATGCAAGTGTTATAGAACAAAATTGTAAAACTATTGTATTAGTTTGACAGACTAATTAACACAAGGTTATACAAAAAATTAAATATCTTAAATTTTAAAGTTGAGTTCACTTCTGCAAATGGAACATTTGTAAATTAATAATCAATAGTTATAATGACCAAAAATCTAATGTGCATAATTATGAGGCGAGAATTATAAGCAATATATATCAGATTAACACAAAAACCAAATCAACTGCATAATCCTTTTAATGATTTAATAACAGGTCTGCAAATAAATTTAGTTTCCTTATTTAAAAACTTAAAAAATACATTCTTCGTGTACAGATAAGTCAGCTATTTATGTATTGATCAACCCACTGCAACATATTCAAACTTAGTTTTCCCAAGGCCAGAGATATGTGTTAAAACACCAACATTGTCTACATATTTTTTATTAAATAAAAATTTGTTTATCGAAAATAACTTGTTTTCATAAAACTATGAGAGTTTCCATGTGACAACTAACTTGGACACACTGTACATATTTTATCGATAAAAGGTGTATTTGAGGAGTTGTTTATATTTAACATATATTACTTGCATTTGATCAGTATAATAAAATACATTTGCTCATCATCATCTGTTCTACTATATGAGCACAAAATCATAGAACACAGAACACAGACGCGATTATCCTAAAGTGATTTTCACTTTATAATGACAAATTTAGATTAAACAAAACTGACCAGCACCAAACCATTTTTTTTTTTGGAAATTCTGCGTGAGAATTTTGCAAAAAAAAAACAAGGTGTCCCAAAAGTTATCGATTAAATTAAAACCAGCTGACGATGGAAACAATGCCTGATCATTTTTGACATCCAGCCAACTTAGCAACATTGTCGGTTTTTTTTTGTTAAAATAAAGTCAACGTTATTCAAGCATAAAAAATAATTATACTACAGCCTTGTTGTTAATTATAAATACATACACCAACGACAGGTTACAACTGTAACAATAGTTTAAAAAAATAAAAAAATATATTATTTGTTACAGTTTAGACAAATCCTATAAGCAGGGTATTATCAGATGCTGTAGAGTTTGTTTTGAAATAATATACGCTGTATATCAAATTTCATGATAGAAATTAATCCTGTTTTTTCTTACTGACAATGTATATTTCAAACTGGATTTATTAATTAATAAAAAATGCTATTAAATATGGGATACACGCATAAATCATTATTTAAACTAAAACGTTGTTCAAAATTTTCAGATGCGATCAACAAATATTTGTATTGAACTTATAGTAGTTCCCGAATATTTACTGCGTTGTTCATAGTAAAGTTCGCCCCCGCACAGCCGAGGATTATTTTTCTAGACGTTTGTGTCGGTGCGGTTACTCAGGAAACGGATTTAAACAGGACAGACCTAAACAAAACATTAAATGGCAATTAAGATCGAGGATAAGCCACCCACGATATTAATTTATAAATGGTACTTTTAACACCTTGCACTGAATATTGCTTGCACCTATAAAAAGCGAAACCTATACAATAAGAGCAAAAATCAGTTAATGGTGAGTCATTGCCGAGATTGTTTAACAAAACACCAGGGCTGAATCATAGGAACGAGTGGGATATATAGATTTCAAATACGAATAAATATACTATACCGAAACCTGACCAAGATTTCTGTTTGAATACTCCTAGTGTACGGAGTGACCCAGTTATTACTGGATGATTATTTTGTAACCCATAAATTAAATACAAAAAGATGGTCTCATTTATACTCATAAATTTTAAATGTTCTATTATATACAGAGTGTCTGTAGTTTAGTGGACAAGTGACACCTTTTTTATATCATAGAGAAAGCCTATATTGGAGCATTTTTGGATTTCTCGAAATACTCTAGAAATATTTCGTATAAAATATTATAGTCCACCGTTTCTGACATATTTTGAATTTTACATTAAAAGATACGTTTGAAAATCTAAATATATTTATCGTTATTTCCGACTGAAAACTTTAGAAGGGAATCCAATCTACTTTAGTGGTTATCAAACACTAACATAAAAAATGTCCAAAGAATTTTTTTCAATGCTTACCAGTTATATACCATCTAACTTGGTAGTTTTTAATTGTTGTCGTTGTTTTAATACATAAAAAATGGCAACATTCAGCAAAATATATGAAAATTAGATTTTCTATAAAACGGTTCTCTTAATTGTCTGACTATTTTTTATAATTTGATTTTGACATTACTTAAATCCCGACCGTGATTTGTAAGAATCACAGCAATTAGTATGTGTCATTATAGTAGTTTCATTGTTTTTTCCTGCAAAATTTTACAATTTTCAAAATCTACAACTTTCTCAAAGAGACAAGAAGAAGTTATACTTTTTTTAATGTTTAATAAGAAAATTTTCCGTTATAAAAAAATAACTTGACGATTTTCTGATTTAAATTTTTATTATTAATTTTTCATCACTCTGGATTTATTTATATTTAAAATGTCGATGCAATTAAGATGTCCTGTAAGAAAGTCAACCCCAAGTATATAATAAATGCATTCAATCCGTCACTTTGACATAAAATTCAATATATGTGTGACTTAAGTATGATATTATACATACACATATTATATAATATGCAGGCTGATTCATTTAAAATAAGGAAGTTGTCACATGTCGATGAATATATCAACACTCTGTATATATAACAATATATGTTAAATTATACGTGAAAACAAGTTTTGCTTTTAAGGCTTTTTAATATTTATTACAACTTCTGAGACGTTTTTGCTAAATTAAGGGATTAAAGAATTATTATTACTTTCGCGAAAACGAGAAAGCATCTACGCTCCTCACTAAACTCGAGATCTCTTTAATAGCGTGGAACTACTTATCATCGTAAAAATTGTGAATATTGGGAACTACATTTCACCCACCAACTTGTATTTTGCGTCATCTGGACGTATTTATACCGCTTCCAAACTTATTTTAGCGGTGATTGGTTGTATTAAAGTTCACCAAACGATATACCGTTTTTACAACTTTTTATGGTTTTGACTTCTGAATGAGTTTAAGACCCGCCTGTTGTAAAGAAGGGACTATTCTTTTCAGCACATGTAGCACAAGGCAGGGCCGTATTTAAGATGTTAGCCTGCATGAACTGTCCTGTCCTGTTGTATTTTAAGAATACGGAAATTTTCTTTGATTAAACTGTTATTAATATTCATATTAGTGTGCTTTTTATAAATCTTCCTAAACCAGTCCATATTTGAGGTAGCTCCATTTCAATTAGATAAGTTGAACTTCTGTATTGAATGCAGAAAGCTAAGCTGATATCCAATTTAAGGGTTTAACATGATGACACTAAAATATTTTCCTAGCAAAGCAATACGAAATCTTATGTAGATAATTGATTTATTATGGATGTTTTCCGAGTTTGCCATTGGTTGATTTACCGGGTTGGTGAAATCGTGAAAATTGACGTTCGACGTTAAAACACCGTATCCCACAGTACTCGTAGTTGTGAATGGTGTGCAAGAAAGAAAAATGCGGAAAGATCGTGAAATGCGTATCAGAAGACTATTGTTTTAACAATTAAAACTCTACATGAAGAGTTGCCTAGTGTTTTGAACATTGACTGTCGCCAAGAGACTTTGCGTGCGTTCGTATGAAGAATTAGTTTTTATTACAAAATCATCAATAAGAGACAAGTTTTGTTGGAATCAAGAAGAATTTCGGAGTGGAGGACAAGATATTTGAGAGAAATCCAAAAAAATTCTTGCGAAAAACGTCCCCATCATATATTTAGTCAAGAAAAGAAGTTCTTAAGACAGGAACGTTTGATAAGAAATATCTGCTTCTAGTTGAAAAAATATGTAAAACATGTTTTTCATGAAGAGAAAATGCCCAGATAGCACACAATATCCCCAGTAGATCCGGTCAATCTCCCATTTAAGTCGAATGTCCCGGGACATGCATATATACTAAATATATCCCAGGGAGATCCATACGATATACCACAGATATCTTCTAAATATATCGTTTGAGGATATCACCTTGCGACATAATGGGAACATCAGAATATAAATAAGGGAAAAAGTGAAAAACAGTAAAACAAAATGAAACCTAAAAAAGTAAATTTTGAACCACTGAGAAGGAAAATAGTTTTTTTGGATTTGTGGTGTTTTGAGAAACATTTTATTGGCAACGTTTTTGTGCACATCTACATCGACGTCACTGTTGGCGAGTCCTAAAAACAACAGAAATCAATCCTTTGACATTAACTTGCTTTTATTATTTTTGGACACGAACGAGACAAGAAACGCTTTTTTAATAAAAATACCACAGAAAATACGGATTCATCTAAGTAAAAATGTTACAAAAACGTACAAATAATATATTTGTTTATAAGATCTCATTTGACAACTCTGTTCGGTTACAACCAATGACGCAAATACTCGCGGTCGTGCCGTGCCGGACCTGCTCGAGTCTCGTCGGCTTCTCCTCCGTCTCGTCGTCCGACATCTTTTCAGCCTTGTGGAAATAACCTAATAAGTAAGTTCCACGGGTATATGTATATAAGATTCTATATCCTCACAATCGGATATACTAAGGACGTCTTAAGTAGTATAACTGGATATCCTTAGTATGGTATAATCTGATATCTGGTATACTGTTGACGTTGCATTTAGTAATATCGTATATCCTTGAGACGTCTTAAGGATGTCCCTTAGCTGAAACAGTATATCCCTAGGATATACGCTATGTCCCATCAGATATCCCGAAGACGTTTTACGGACGTCCTTGTGCTATTTGGGTGCTAACATAAGTTGACTAGTGCCAAAATTAATTATTAATGAGTGACGATAGTGATTATTTTGGTGTAGAAAACTTTTTTTTTTATAAATATTCTAACATTGTTTTGTAGCTAAATTTACTCCTTGATTTATAATAAACATTTTAAAGTAAGAATCGATTTTTCACTGCATGGAATAATAGTAATCGAGGAACCTCACCGATGAAACTCTACACAAATCAATCAGTTTTCAGCATTGCATTTACGAAGTACGGTTCTGGACCATCATCGTGGAATTGCGAATCTATTTACCCAGGATTACAAAGAGAAACCCAAGCAAGGTAGGCCTGCGGTTAGACCTTCAAAAAATGTATCCCAGTTAAATACCGGATTATGTCGTAAAGACGGTATATCGTTTGGAGGACTCTTATCAGCATCGATCTTCTTCGCTTTGGTTCTGATATTTTTTCGGCCGTAGTTTTTCGAAATATTCCCAATACCACTAAATTTTCGGGGAAAACAAAGTCGTCTCCGCTTATTTATACGCATGCTTGGACAATTATTTAATTCATAGTTGCCTGAAATGTTGACAGTTTGGCACTGTTCAAGCTGGATTTATTCCACGCAGTTAAAAAATACAAACAAAACGACAATCTAAAATAATGAGTCAAATGAAAAAGTGGTGCTATATTCAATTATTCGTGGTTGATTTAAAACCCCGCATTGTATTATACTAGCCAAAAAGCAAGCTTGGCTAACCATGTTGTTAATTTTTCTGTGCAAGGCTTCTCTAAAATACACCAAATTAAGAAAATAAGCTTGAGATACTTCTTCCAGGCTTGCCGCTTTTAATACAATTTAATAGCCAAGTCGCCATAGAATTTTTGTGCTAGTTGTGTCAAGATAAAAGTTCAAAATTGGAAAGCCAGTAAGTAAAAACTTTTGAACCATTTCAAAGTGTACTTTATTCTGTCCTTAAAATGCATCTTTATGTGGAATCAAATAAAACTGGGTACCTCTTAACGAGTCATGCGACCCTCGCCCTCGAGATTCCATATTTTAAAGAAACTGACAAAGAGGGTACTATTCTGTATCATTTTATATACCACTTGGAACCTAACATTATTGCCACGTTTATAAAAACATACTTAAAAGGATCCCTCAAATTTGTTGCTACAGCGAATTTTGAAAGGCGTGCAATCTTTTTTTCTTTTGGAAAGTTCCTAGTGGTTGGTATAAACAAAAGAAAACAACACAAAGAAATTATTTAATTTCACAACCTAAAAACTTCTATCACGGATAAATACTTGAGGAGTTGTGGGCAACAAAAAAGTAACAAAACCGCGCAAGTCCTAAAAACAATGGCTTTATTCTAGACACAATCAGGCTTAATAAAAACTAACACTAATCACAAAATTCACATACACGGTATTTGTGATATCAGAGGAATCCCATCACACACACCGACCAATACAATTTTTGAACCAATCTGATATCCGATCAATAAAGTTGTGAATATATATTCTGACACTGAAAAACTTGAACCGTATTTTATCGTCCTTCGACTGAAAAAACAAAGAAGTATTTAAATATAAAATAATCCAAATCTCTCCTAAAATGCCTTACTGTAAGAACTGAGATCGATCTCGTCCGGAAGCTCCGTTATGTTTACGTCGAACCTGTCTTGGACTTCGTTTAAAATTTTGGCGTCGCTTTCTTCAGAGACGAAGGTAATGGCCAACCCTTTGGTGCCAAAACGACCAGCTCTCGCTACCCTATGCAAGTACGTATCCGAATCCTCGGGCATATCGTAATTAAACACGATATTCACTCTTTCGATATCCATTCCTCTACCGAAAAGGTTCGTCGCTACCAATATCCTCTGAAAAAATAAAAAACAAAAACCCCACCTTCACTAAACGCAAAAAAATGTCAGGAGAAAGTTAGGGGAATTGGTCTATCAGAAACAATTCCCATTTACGTAAATAATCAGAAAGGGTTCATATGTCCCTACGTCTAATATCATCATAGTAAAAAAGTATTCATTGCCGAAAGTTATGAAGGGGCTTCTGAAAAGTTTAGAGTAATAAAATAAATCATTTTTGACCAAGTGCCGCCTAACTAATATATGGCCCATTGTACGTTTTTCAAGACAGCAGGTGAAATAGTGCCTCCCAAGAAAAATCGGAGCAGACGAGTAAAAGTTCTTGATGAAGACACTAAAAGTGTAAGTCACCTTTGAAAAGTCTTCCGCTTAAAAGTGGACGTATGAACCTAAAATCGAATTCCATTTCATTTGTGTGCGATAAATACCCGCTAGATCAACAAAATCCATGTAACAATGACAACTTTTTTTATCATATCACCAATATTAATCAGCAGCACTCGATTTACTGCTGAAAAGTTTAGATAAATAAGATTTTAATGGACCTTGCGATATTCCGCTGAAAACTTTTATGCGCCACTTTACGGATGACAGCAGAAGAAAATTCTTATCATGATAAAGGTACGCTTAAAATACCAAAAATGTGGCAAGGCAAAAATATAGCCGGTGCAGGCCATGTTTTAATGAAATGATGTCAAAATATTGAATTTAAAGATAATTTTATAAAGAAAGAACTATTAGATAAAGCAAATTTACTCATCGTTTTATGAAATACGCTTCGACATATATAGCAATAACTGTCCTGCGTCTTGCGAACTAAATCTTATAGAGGTTATATGGACGCAAGTGAGAGTTATAGCCAGAAAGAAACACTCAAAGTATTAAGAGTATCTAATACTATGTACATAATGCCTAGTTTTATTCTGTTAAAATAAAAAATAGACAAAACCCATAAATTGACCCAAACCCCGGTCGTACTACCTGTAAAAAAAATTATGTGCAAAAATCAATACCAAACAATAAAAGGGGCTCAAGTATTTGATGGGTCGGCCGCTAATCTAATAAGGTTTTATTACTCTACACCTTTCTGAAATAGACAATAATAACAATTATAAAATACCTTCTGGAAATCTTTAAATTGCTCATATCGCGAAAGTCTTTCCTTCTGATCCATGCCTCTGTGTATGCCGATAGCAGGAAAATTTTGTTCAGTCAGCAGCTGTGCCAGAGCCACACACCTCTGGACAGACTTTACGAAGATTACAACCTAAAACCATGCAACATGGAGAACAAATCAAACACAACACTTGCCTATCGTCAGCGTTAAGTTGTCGTATCAGTGAGAGAGTTTCAATATCATCGAATCATTTCAACTTATTCATCATGTAATGGATGGAAAAAAATCCTGTGTAAAAAGTAAAGAAAAACCAAATAACCTGATTAAATTCCAAAACGTCCAGCAGCTCGAACAACTTTTTGTTCTTTTCGTTCTCTTTTAGCTTTACATAATGTTGCTGGAGTCCGTGCAGGGTTAGTTTCGCTTCATCGTCCACATAGACTTCCATCGGCTAATGGCGGGGAAAAAAACGTTAATACAGGAATCACTACTTCAAAATCGATTAAACTTTTTTAAGTAAATGGAATAGAACCAAAGCAGTCAAATATATTTTAACCAAAGAACAATTCCCAATAATTTTATCGCTGTCTAGAATAGAAAAACTATTGCATGGAAATCAAAAAGAAGTTCCATATCCGCTATAGCATATAGGGTGTTTCCCAATTTAATAGAACATTTAAGAGTATATTTATAAAAAAAAACCTTTTTTGTTATGTTCAACTTCGTTTTTACGATAATGGTCAACACACTTAGATTTTTTTATCAATGTAATATTTATCTTAAAACCCAGGCTGAATATAAGAAACCATAAGGAACCACTTTCTTTTTTTTTTAATTGCTTCACCCAAAAAATATAAAATTCTCAAAACATCAATGGTGTACCATGATTCTACTAATATGAACTAGATCACCCTCAACACAAAATCAAGATCCTAGTGATGACAAATAAGCGTCCAAGTTTTGTCAAAACTATTTAGGGTAATCAACAAAAAAGTTTTTTTAAGGTATATTTTCTCTGAAAATCTTTGTATTAAACCTTGAAACACCCTATATATAAGAAAAAAATTTCAATGATTACAAATAATGAAAAATAAACAGAAATCACTTGTTATAAATCTTGATTTTTGATAAAAATTAAGACTACAAGAGTTGAGATTAACAATATACAAGTTGTCAGCAATATGGTCAAAGAATGGTTGTCAAAGCCCACACAGTAGAGAGAATAGTTTTTAACAATAGCATAATATAGAAAAAGGTAAACCTTTAAACAAAACAAAACCCACGTGAATTTAAACTTAACTTTCAAATTCAGTTTTTTTTAAAAACAGCGATTAAATTCACTTTAAACGATTGAGATCAGAGTCGAAATTTTAATAAGGTTTCAATATTTGTACTCCACACAGTGTGTTCTAGGTAGTTTTACGATTTCGGAAGCTTAGCTAAATTGTTTTTAACAATTTTGTTCATAGGGCTGTTTTAACTTTGTCAAGTTTTTATAAATGATTTCATTGATTAAAAAAAGAACGCAAAACGCTTATTGGGAAATTTTTTAAAAAAATCGCGGGACTTAACTATCACGTGAACATTTTTTTAAAAAAAATCTCTTTAAAACCATCCAGCCATTTTCTCAAACTTTTGGCTCTAAAATTTAGATAGACCAAAAATTACACAAAGGAGCTTTTCTCACGAGCCTTTTTTTTATTTAATAAAACTGATTTCGGGCAACAACTGCCACAAAACGTTAACCGGCCGTCCTCTCCCGTGCCAGTCCGAAAAAAAAAAAGAATAAAAAAAATCAAACAATGCGCAATGATGATCTGCCCATTTCCGTCTTACATACAGTTCTGAAGATGGCTCCGTCCCACCGTCCGGCACCGTTAATCCAATCCAAAATAAAAATCAAAGTCGATAAAGAAACCAGGATACACGGACGCTCACGCCTCCAAATAGAAGAACCATTACACGAAATCCGCAACCGGAGTAGACATTATGAAGATTTTTGTGAAAATTTTGAAGTACTGTAGCGCGGCCGAAACATTGACATTTTATGGCGCAACCCAATCTTCGTCGTCGTCGAATCTTCTTAGCCCCGCCCAACCCCGGCCTACCCGTTGGGCTACAGTACTCTAACCACCCCACGACCCCCCAGAAAGCAATAGACATTGGATTCGGCCCGGCGGCGGCAGTTTCATCTACCACGAACGGTGGGGGCGTATACGTTGAGGTAATAGTTAAGGGGTTCAATTACGTCTTGCATGAACTTCTTGCAAACCGGTCGAATTTCTTTGCTGAGCGTGGCGCTGAACATCATTACTTGCTTGCCATGGGGCGTGTTTCTGTATATTTCTTGAACGTCCCGTCTCATGTCTTAAAAAAAAAAAATAGTTTAGTGGAAAAGTAAATAAAATGTTCGACAAAGTTTCCACCAAAAAATCTCAGTTTACAATCTTCAAGAAAGTTACAATTCAAGAGACACATATTAATAATACTAATATTCTATATATTAGTATACTAAAAAATTCTCAATAATTAATAAACAAATTAAAATATGCTTCAATCCAACTTTTCCCTCCCCATTTGCCAAATGCCAAAAAATAAACGTGTATTTTTTCCAATTAATAAATATGTTTGAAAAATATAAAACAGGTTGAATGGACATCTATCTCGCAAAGAAACAAAACTACTAATCCCCATAAGTTCAGAAATAGACAAAAATGAAAATCACAATTTAACAAAAAATGACAGAAACTTACATCAGATTTAAAAAATGACAAAGAAACTTTAACAGGCTACTGCAATGGTAGAGTAAATGACTCGGAATCCATAAAATGTACAAATAGTAAGAAAAAATACATTTCACAATTTATTTATTAAGTTCAGTCTCATGCATAAAAAGAGAGATGGAGGGGTAGCCAAAACAAGCACAACTGAAACATCTTACAATAAAATTGAGTGATTTGCTAGCATACTTTAGGATTTTCTAAAAAAATATATTAGAATATCTCAGCAGCATATTAAATGGAAACTGTATTTAACTGTTCTTACATTCACATGAATTAATAGCATATGATTTAGATTTTATTTTTTTAAATAAATAAGAAGGCTTTGCAAGAATATCCCAACCATAATAAACATTAACAAATAAAATTATCTAGTATTGGTTATGTTTGCACTTACCTAATAGCTCCAACATTTTGTCGCATTCGTCAAGGATAAAATGTTTCAGGTGCTTAAGATTCAGCTTCTTCGACCGCACAAGCGCCAATATGCGTCCAGGAGTTCCGACAACAATGTGGGGGCAGCTGTTCTTCAATACTTCCTCGTCCTTCTGTATGGGCATGCCGCCAAAGAAGACCCCGACCTTAATATTAGCCATGTACTTGCTGAACCTTTCATATTCTTTACTTATTTGGAATGCAAGTTCCCTAGTATGACACATGACAAGAACATAAACGACATTTTCAGTGGGTTCGAGTTGCTGCAAAGTAGCTAATACAAATACTGCTGTTTTACCCATGCCAGACTTGGCTTGGCAGAGTATGTCCATGCCCAAAACTGCCTGTGGAATGCATTCATGCTGAACTGAAACAAAAATTATATACCTAGAAACCTTCAAATTTACTGTACGCTGTAAGATGCAAGCAAGTTATTTATTTAAGCATAAAATAGCGAAATTGTACCTTCGGAAGGATGTTCAAATCCGCAATCGACAATTGCTCGTAAAATTTCAGGTTTTAAAAGGAAATCCCTAAATCCCGAACTGTGAATAGACACGTAGGTACCCTTAACACTCTTCTTGGCGTCAGCCGTCGCGTTTGTAACTTGCTCAGTTTGTTCCTCATCTTCATAATCCAAAAGATCCTCTGCATCGGCCATTTCGGAAGCAATAATATCTGATTACAAAAAAAAATATTTTTGAAGAACGAGTAAACGGCGTGAAATGGAGGACGCCATGAAAACGATTACAAAAAGTAGAACTAGCAAATTTTAAAAAATACAAAATAAAACAACACTCTCACTAAGAAAGGTAAAGTAAATCATTGGAAAACAGGCAAATAATAACAAGATGGCCAAAATAAATACGGACTCTTACCTAAAAGCAAATGCCGCCAAACACACACAACAGAACCAAATGTGACACAAATCGTACGAACGATGCGCCACAGCCACGAACCAAACAACCATAGAATAGCTATAACTCTACTTCTTAACACTTACTGGTCATGGTCTTCTTCTTCTTTTACTTCTATTGACCGAGTTTGCTAGGATCATTCAGCCACTTTTCGTCGTCATGATAACAAATACGTCTTCTTTTACGTTTTACAGGACCGCCAACGCGCAATAATCATTCGTCCATTGTCAATAACCGTCCAAGCTCGTCGCAAGTAAGGGAATCATAATTTGTCTCGATTAAAAAAATTTAATAAACAGAAATATTATTAAATTCACACAAAATAAGCTTCTAGAAAATTGTAGACCCATTTTATAGAAAAAAAGGCACCACTCATCATAAAACAATGCAGGTTTATTCCTACCAATCTTTTTAACAAATACATTTCAATACTGTGTTGGCTTATCAAGTTCTATGAATGTACATTTGAATCATTACTAGTTCATATCCCACAAGAGCCGTAGCAATCTAAAAAATAATATATCTGTGGATCCTCCATTATACAATGGGAAATAACATGAACCTTTAATATCAAGTTTTGCGTTATTTTGAAAAAGTTCATCCCTGTTAGCACCATTTCGTGCGTGGAAATATGCGTTATAAACCTATTTATCTGAAAAAAAGTCCTATAAATGTTCGCTCCAGGTTCGACTTAGTAGACAATACAAACTTACTTCAATGTTAGTACCTTTCACGGCGTTTAAAATTTTAACAATTTCCAAGCATTCGTTTGCTGGCGTTCCCCCGTAGTAACATACGTATGTCAGACGGGCAATAAGAAGACCAAAAGAAATCCACAGATAAATGAGGTTATATCCTTGGATACCTTCGGATAATATGCTAAAGAGCTGGATTAAGATGAAGTACATATTCGCCGAATATGAAACGATAATAATATAAGAAAGTTTTTCGTTAGTAATTATTAATAATCGGGTCAGCTTCACGTAGTCTTCTCTAAGTGATCTCCATGGTCGTATATCCGCGATCTATAAAGTATATACATTTTTAGCTATTTCGTCATATCTTAAAAAAACAGGCTCCAAGCTCCTCAGCAGAGTAAGATTGGTTTTGGTTAGTCGGGTTTAAAACCAAGCCTGGTTCATAGATGATAGAATTGTCAGTTTGAATATATGTCTCTCAATTAAGCGCAACTAAGTGGAAACAATGTCCTTACCTTTAATTGCGATAAATTCTTTGCTCGTCTCTTTATTTGCCTCAGTTTCAACGATATACAAATGCCCATTAATATTATGAATACGTCAGTGTAAGTCCACATAAAAGTTCGCTGCCAATTTAATATCTACAAAATCAGAACCAGGGTATTTTAAAGGTGTATATTGTTATTTTATTGTTTGATTATGACGAATTTCGACTCTTCACCTGTAAAATTATACCCATCCAGACGGAGTAGTCAACGAACGCGAATACATCCCAGTAGCTGCGACATGTGAAATACTCTTTGAAAACATCGTACGCCGATACACCGGGTCCAAATGAAATCGCCAATTTGTTATAAGTCAACATATTGTGTTCGACTGAAAAATATTTATTATTCTGTTAGTACGAGGTGTGCTCAAAAAGTAAGACGACTTTTCTAACTGGGCGGGTTACGAACCTACATTCGATCTTCGATATTTTTTTTTGTTATGTTGGTACACATGTCCCTAACATATGTTTATTGTTTCAGTCAGTTTGCACGTTAACTTTTTTTGTGAGAAAGAACCGTTAGACTTGTTTTGTATATTCGGAGATTTTCTGCTGTAAAAAATGAAATAAATTTGCATAAAATTTTGGTAAAAAATGGAATACAGTGAATACAGTGAATCTACTTTGAGCAACAAAACGTCAATAATTCATGAAAGCGTTAAAGAAGTGAAACAAATTTTGTTGAAAATTCGTCGAATTACTATTGGAGAAGTGGCTGAAGAGATCGACATCTCTATTGGCTCTTGCCATGCAATGTTTTCCGAAGTTTTGGGCATAAAATGTGTAGCAGCAAAATTTGTTCCGAAGTGGCTTAAGTTTGAACAAAAGGACCGTCGAATGAGCATCGCTCAAGAGCTGTTAAACGATGTCTGATATGCTCAAAAAGGTCATAAATAAGTTCATAACTGATAAGAACCCAGAATCGCCAAGACCTAAAAAAGCACGTTAAATTCGATTAAATGTCAAGGTTTGGTTTTCTTTGATTATCGAGGCATAGTACATCAAGAGTTCGTACGGTCAATAAAGAGTATTACATTGAAGTTATGCGCCGTTTGCGAGAAGCAATACGAAGGAAAAGTCCCGAGTTGTAGGAAACCAATTCATGGATTTTGCATCACGTCAATGCACCTGCTTACTCATCGTTTCATGTGTCTACCTTTTTGGACAAAAACAAAACCAGGAGCATGTCTCAACCACCATATTCACGGGATATGGCCCCCTGCGACTTTTTCCTGTTACCACAACTGAAGAGACCCATGAAAAGAAGGCTGTTTAGAACGACTGAGGAGATAAAAAAAAATCGCTGGAAGAATTCAAACCTATACCAGAAAGTGCTTTAAGGGTTGGAAAAAACGTTGGCCCAAGTGTATTACATTTGGGGGATTACTTTGAAGGGCAACATTAATTTTGATAAATAAATAAACACTTTCTGATAAAACTTAAAAGTCATCTTACTTTTTGAACACACGTCGCAAGAGCACCAAACTTACCAAAAGCAACCGATAAAAACAACGACGTGACAACCTTGAGTGTTTTCCGCAAGTTTTGCGGAAGTTCGTAGTGCTTCATGCTGACCTCAACTCGGTCCCATTCGCGGACAAAATCCGGCCATTCTTTAGCCAGTTTACCATACAATACCGTCAATATTAAAGCCTCGGCGTGGAAAATCAAGTACGCTGAAAATCATATGCCATGATAGATAACTGAAAATAGAGACAGTAAGAATACCGTCTGATTGTAAGACGTTGCTATTAGATAATGTAGGTGTAGTGGCCCTCCTAGAGTAAAAAATTATGTGCCAAAAGCAGTATTGACATTTTCTTAGAAAGGTAATGGTTTTCCGCGCATGCTTCGACATTTCACCCACTAACCTGAGCTCTGTTATTTTCTTTCTAAACAGCGATTTTCGCACACTTATTTATCCAGAAATTTAATGAGATCTAAACATTTTGACAAAATACTGCTGCAAAAATTCCGTTTTCAAACTTATTGACGATCTAGCAGTGGCCATGTTGGTTGTCGAATGCCGCAAGGTCATTGGTTAAAAACGAGATTTTTAATCTCGCGCACGTGGATGTTGATTGGATCTTCTCAAAAAGAAAATCCTCCGGCCATAACCATTAATTTCATGCTCTAACCTGTACTTGGCACCATATTTATAAACAAACAAATTTAATGGATACCTGACCATATTTTAACAAAAAAAACACAGGTCAAATGAAAACGCCTGAACCATATAGCTACTAGAGATAAAGGGACCCTGCCTATGATGAAGCAATTATGAAAAAAATTGACAATGTATGCGCATGCGCTAGATTTGAAATCCCGTTTTTAACCAATGACCTCGTAGTTGCAATCAACAACCCACATGGCCACTGACATATCGATATCGTGTATGCGGCATTTTTATGTCAGTATATTATTAAAATATGTCCAGATTCCATTAAATCGTCAATCAAAAATGTGTGGATAAAGAAGTTAGGTGCAAAATATCATAGGCGCATCAATTTTTAAGGTGGTAGGGCCTCACTGTATTATGTTATATATGGTTTTAGGATTCTTACATGCCTCAGAAATAGTCTGTGATCGTCAGGATTCTACGCTACAAGCTTAAACATAGAATAAGGACTAAACTCAGCAGTTCTATCAGACTTGTCAGACAGTTCAATGACTGTTAAAACGGTTGGCGGATTTTTGTCAAATAAGTTATTAGCACAAGCCCAGTCGTATGTTTTTATTTAGCGTAACTGCTTTGATTGGAAGTTGTTAAGCGAATTTGTTTTGTCTTTAGCTTTTGAACAGAAACGTCAATTTTTTTGTGTTTTCTGTTTTTAAAGTTTCTATTTAAATTCATTTGATAATCAAGTTTTGTGTTTGGATTTTTAGAATTTAAGGTGGTTCAGTACAGAGTTGATAGTTTATTTGAACAATACTTTCTTGGTTAGTTGTTATTAGGCGAGTTGGTTTTGTCTTTAACATTTAAGCGTAAACGTTTGAAATTTTAGCTTAAATCTTCGTCACAGGAAAAATTATTATTTATTTTTAAATTCGTTTGACAAAATTATTTTCTCTCTGGATTTTAAGAATGAGAATTGAGGGGAAAATAGAAATTATTTAACTGATTTAGCAATTGGGTTCCATCGAAATCGAATTAAGGTTCGAAACTAGTGACCATTATAAGGTCCATTAATCCGGCTCCTATAATAAACGTGCTACTCATCTATTAAATCTACTTTAATATTTTTGTGGTTTGCTGGTCAGCAAACAACAAGTTCCTCTCTAATATCGAGGAACAAATGCACACGGAAACATATTTATCGAAAAAAATGGATGACGGTGTGATTACACAAACTGTCTCAACGTTAAAACAAGAAGTCCACAGCTTTTTTACGTCCGACCATTTAGACCTTAAGCGGTAAAACTAGTTGTGGGTCGGTAGGGGATTGAAAGGTGACTTCTTTTTAGGAGTAAACCTAGAAACCTTTTGGATGCTCATTGCGCCCCATTTTCAAACTTTGCCGCAGCTATTTATTACTTACACAGCCGTAACATATTCAAGCCTCGAACCAGGATGATGTAAAAGAGGACGCCAATGTTAATAACGAACAGAACGAACGTCACAAAAGCGTATCCCATTTTCCAGGAGATCCATCGGAACCGGATTGATTTGGAGGTAGGGCCGTCGATCCCACCTATGGGCAAAAAACTGAACATTTGGGCGACCTTTATAGGGAACCTCATGACGACGTGAAAGGAATTGCAGTTTTGCTCCGACGGTAATAAAAGTTTCGAACGTCTTTGTTTGTTTGTTTTGCGCTTCGGACAACGTATTTCGAAAAGTTGGTTCCCTGAAAAATCGCCATGTCAAACGAACCGTAACCAATGTTAAAATTTGAATGTTATACCTTCCATGTTGTCGCGGACCTTCGCCGTGTTTACACCACTGTTCTAGACATCTTAAAGTTGTTTTCGAAGCATTTGCCCGTGCCAGAAATATTAAATATTCAGCAACCTCAAATATAACTAAAAAGCACTGCTCGTGTTTGTTGGCATATCGTATCGACGTTCAAAAACAGTATCACAGACTGATGAGGGCGCATAAATATTTTAATAAATAATAAATGCACTCAAGCACGCTATATGTATTGCGTTTTATACAAACGAAGAAGCGATGTTTCCTCTGGCCACCACGACTTTGTAAATCAGGCACACCGCCGAATATTGGCTACTCAAAAAGAAAAACTGTGGAAGGATATTTAAAAAAAAGAATTACCAATCCTTTTTTTTGAGATAAGAGACAAAAAACTCAAAACAATAATTATTTTGAAAGCAAACTTCTCCATTTACTAATGCATTTATTTTTCGATCTTACCTGAAATTTGCCGAAAATTAATGTTGTCTCCTTCAAAGTAATCCCCCCCTCTTATAAAAGTATGGTCTCTTATAATTTAAAATTTTCCAATTGAGGTAGCATGGAAGTTAAGAATATTAATTATTATTAGAAGTTTGGGATCGTCGCGCTCAGGATCACCTTTAATTTTAACTCATTAAACTCTAAAAATATAAGGGACATAGAATGATAATTTTTCTGAAAATCTAAAAAAAAATTTTTGTGGATTTTACTATTTCTTAAATTTCTGAATTTGTTGGTTTTGTGTATTAATATTAAATTATTTAATTAAGTAATTATTAATGAAAGTATATTCAGTAAACTCCGTTTATAACGTACATGGGATATAACGTACTTCCGAGTATTGCGTACATATTTTACTGGTCCGGTCAAAATACTCTTGATTTTTCATCGGATATTACGTACCATATATAAATTTTACTACGGTTATAAAGTACATTCACTAATATTTTGGTTATAAATTACGAGCGTACGTTAAAACCGCTCGATAATCCAGCGGTGGTTCCCTGAAAAAATTGGGGATTTATTTAATTGTTTAATGGAAAGGTGCGCTAACACGATTTTTTGAGTTTGTAGTTAAAATGTCGGATCGGCGCAAGTCTTTAGCTGTAAAAGAAAATATAGAGACGATCAGATTATTGAGAGCGGCGTCGGTAAGGTGGAAATTACTATACAATGGGTAGTAATCGCGAAAAGATCAAGAAAGCAAGTGACTGTAAATCGCACAGGATTAAAAAAATTAGAAATCCTGTATGTTCAGATGTAGATGAAGCTCTTTTACGATGGTTCCAAGTTCGAAGATCCGAAAATATTGCAATAAGTGGTCCAGTTCTGTAATCGAAAGTCGAAGAATTACCCAGGGGATAACACGGTGAGGATTTTAGTTATTCTACAGATTAGATTGAACGTTTTAATCTTCGTCACAACATAAACGTCGGAAAAATTTCTGGTGAAGCAGGAGATGTTAACAAACAAGCTGTGCTGAACTGGTTTGAGGATATTTTCAATGGTGATGAGCCTGGGCTATTTTACAAGATGACTTCAGATCGTACCCTTAAATTTAGAGGAGAAAAGTGTATGGGTGGGAAGCAGTGAAATTTGGGGTACACAGTTTGGGTATGCGCAAATATGACAGGAAGCGAAAAATGCAAACTTCTTATTGGTAAAAATGAACAACCGAGTTGCATGAAAAATGTGAAAAATCCACCTGTCATTTATAAGTCAAACGATTTTTTTACTCAAAAAGAATAAAGTATGTTTTTTACTTGTATGTTGTAAAGTTTATATAGGTAAATAAGTTTTTAGTAAAGGTAGTTTAGTTTCTCTCGTTTTTCAGTACCTATATTAGTATTTATTAGTGTTCTATTTGAATAGAAAAAAAATCAATCAATCACATTTGTTAAAGACACGGTGTTGTCGAAACAATTGTCATGTAAAAATATATATTTTTGTGAAAAACTGAACTTTTAGTTCTTATTTAGTTTGATAAATGAATTTTCATCAAGTAAAAGCCACCTCAGTTCAATAAAAATAGGTACCTACCTACATAATTTTTTTTATTTGTATTTTTTTAGAGCGTACTTTTCCTTATAGAGTACTCATTTTCTGGTTCCTAGAGGGTACTTTATACCTGGAGTTCGCTGTAATCATAATTGGAAGTTACTAATTATAATAATTAATCATTAATCAAGTATTAATTATAGTTTCTACAAAATATGTATATTCATATACCATGTTAAAAAGTGGGTACGATGTCACCTATACTTGATCATTTTGTATTATAAACTATATTATATCTCATTTCTTGCCGTAACAGTTCGTTAGAAGTTTTTGGGGTTAGTAGTTTGAAATTTTAGGATTCAGGGTTATTCAAGATTTTCTTTCATTAGAAATTATTTTCATGGTCGCACCGCACCACATACCAATTTTAAATGCCCTGTATATTATTTTATTTTTGGATTTCTGAGGAAATTTTATCATGAGTTTCATTAGGTCTCCTACTTATTTTCAACTATTTGTAAGAGTGCACGTTTTATCCATTTTTGATTTGTGATAAACGCATCTGCAATGAAATATAATATTTTCTGCACTGACTAATCGAAATTTGGCAGGCAAGGAATTTTAAATTGGCAAAAAAATAAGAACTGTATACCAGGTGTACGATGAGAATTTATATACTTAAACGGTCTGTGATTTTATTAATGTTCTTCCTCTAAGTAACAGAGTGGGCTCCATATCGAACAATTCTTACAATTATTGCGATAATGCCTCACCATTACTGCTACACATTTGTCTTGTTATATTATGTTATATTCAATTACATTCAATTTCGTTGCTGTAACACAATTATTTTACATAAAAAAAAACAGAAATATTATTGTGATTTCTGCTAAAAATTGAAAATGTAAAATACGGATTAACAAAAAATCGTTCAAAATACGTATAGGGAAAGTAATAGCCAATCGATGCAGAATGAAATTCAAAACATTTGAAAGAAAATAACTCCTAGTTTTTGAAAATAATCAATCAATCAAAGCAATTGTCGGCACGGATTTCACAAGTATTACTCTCCTTTAGGATATTGAAGAAAGATTTACCACCGATCAGAAACGGATAAAAGATCCACTGGTACAAATCGGTTAAAATTCTCACACAAAGCAAGATGTCTGACAAACAGTTGAAAATAAGTAGGAAACTCATCACATTTTCTCAGAAATCCAAAATAAAATAATACACATGTAAAATAACGATGTTGAAGGTGAGTTGCAGCGTAACCAGAAGTGCTGTGACCTTCAAAATAGTTTTAAATGAGGGGAAATCTTGAATAACCTCAAGTTCGAGAATTTCAAACTTTTAAGTTTTTCCGAACCCCAAAAAGTTCTAACGAACGGATAAGGTGGGAAACTCTGATTAGCTAAATAATAATAATAATAATAGGTCTTTATTTATGTAGTAAAACTGTTAAGGTAGACTAGAAATATAGAAGGGTGGCTAGCGCAGCTACTCACCTAACCACTTCAAATTAAAAAGTTTCGAGAAATACGTAATAGCTACATTAGAATATAAGCAATGGACTTTGCATGAGTACTAATACTAGTCTTGAACGGCCAAAATAACTTTAAATGTATCTCCAATTTGTCACCTCAAAGAAACCGAATACATAACACAAGCACAAGCTTCGTGGAGAAGGAAAGGGCGGCAAAAACTATTGTTGAAGCATGTTAAACAATAACATCATCAGCAAACCTTTTGTGGCATTATAACTGAACGAGCACTGTACAGAGTACAGAAAGTTAAATCGTGTAGTATGCTGATGTATATCAGATTCAATAATAACTATTTCATAAAGGTACTTTGGCTGTTAGCTATTAAGCCAACCGTTGGATTATGGTAAAATATGGTCAAATTTCCTTATATTATAACAAAATCTTAAACAGCTATGCTGTAACCTCTGCCATCCCGTGTGATCTTTATCGAAAAGGGAGGCCAATACACTAGGTTGCAATATGATAGAAGGAAAAGGATCAGTGTATGTAGTTAATGAATACTTGAAAATATAAAGGGTCGTTAGTTTCTGGTAGTTTTTCTGAACTAAATATTTTTATTATTGAATTGAATTAAATATTAATTTTAAGCGAATACACGTTTTTATCAAATAATAAAAATTGTGCTTTAGTTTTGAAATTTTTGAAGCAAATTGCAGGCCAGCATTAATTTTTCTATTGGCCCACAGTGAGTCTTCAAACTGAAACTTGATCGATAAATATAGCTGCATATCGTCAGCATATTTATTCGACTTTAGATGTTTAAAATAATCAGAAAAATCAGGGGTACACACTTAAAATACGAAGGGACTCAATATACTGCTCTGGGGAACCCCCACTGTAATTTCCGAAAAAGGTGACAATTTATCGCCATAAGATACCCTCTGACTTCGCCCACTCAAATACCTTTGAATTAAGTAAGTGGATGATTTGTTAAGCCAGAAGCATTGAAGTTTACCACAAAGAACAGCAGATTCTGACTGGAATTTATTCGATATCGGCAACTACAATTTAAAAACACCCTTTGTGGGTCAAATAGTTGCCGATTTCGATTGGATTCCAGGCAGAATCTGATTTTTCTGCTTTAAACATCTATTGAATACAAAAGTTATATGGTCTGACAAATAAACAATGACATAGCTGATCATTCCATTCTATCAGTACTACTTGCATTGGTTCTTATTTGTCTGATAGCACTATCAACCCTTATCTGATCCAATTGATAAATGGTAAATTCCTAAAGAAAACCCTAAAGTCTGGTGAGGTGGCGTATTTGTGTAAGATCGAATTATTTGAAGAAAATAATTGTTATTTTTGCTATTTTTTAAGCGTATCTTCCTAAAATCGCTACTTATTTAACGTATGCCAATGAATGATGTCATTTTTTTCCCAAGAAGGCGTGAATACTTTTAGGATTTGCTGGATTGTCATTGGCCATGACTATAACTAAGATTTAGCACTTGCTTTAAGTAGTCTAGACTATAGATGTTCCTGTTTTCCGTTCGAAACTGCCTAACTACTCTCTAATATCATCGTCGCCAACACATAACTTCGTTTTTCTGTATGAAAAGTGATCTTCTCTTTTGAGTTTCTTCGTAACGAAACTTCATTTTCCACAATATCTTCTTGGCCATGGGAAAGGAGAATTTAAACCGTTTTTGCAATTGCGAATATTGACTTTTAGTGGCGAAAAGTTTTGACCACATTGAGAATCCTAATTTTGCCATTTTTAGAAAGCGAAGTTTTACTAATCTGTTTCTCAGCAAATTAAAGAACATTAGCAATTTTTAATGAAGGAACTTTGCCAACAACACTAAAGTACAGGTAGGTTTACAGTTCAATTAAAAAACAGAACATAAACATAAAGTTTTAGTATATTATTCATAATCCTGTCTACTCAAAGTCAGATTTTGACAGCTCGCCGGAATCGGCCTTTCAATATTTTACCGATTATATTAACAAACGGAGCATTGGAAAAATGGCGGATCAGCATCTGGCACCGCCCGGAGGGGTTCCTTACAAAAGGTTACATCAAGACTCGGAAGTGCTAATGCCTAGGCCAAGCATCATTCTGCCTCACTTACAGGAGTCTGAGAAGAAATTTTTCGAACTCGTGACCGCAGGTCAGTTTTGTGGGCTTCGGAAGAATAAAAAACCATCGGAAACGTCTTGTTGATTTACAGGAGATGTAATCACCGTTAAAGAGTATTTGGAAGCTAATCGGGGGTTCAACATAAACTGTGTGAATTTCCAAGGCGTCTCGGCGCTCTTGATAGCCGTCCAAAACCATTCGGAACCAATGGTCGAGTTTCTTTTAACGCAACCCGGGATCGATATTGGCGATTGCATTCTTCACGCCATTAAAGATAACCAAAGGAAAATTTTGGAGATGCTATTGGAAAAGCTGAGTCAGATAGCACCCAGTTTGGAGTTTGTCGGAGTCACCCACAGTACAGATTTTCCAGACTACATCACGCCTCTCATATTGGCTGCGCAATGTGGTCACTACGAAATCATTGGTGAGCGAGTATAGGTAGAGAGCAACAGCATATCCGAAAAGAATACTTTAATGTTTGTACTACTTGCGAGTTTTATTCTAATGTTACTTATAATCGCGTCTCTTAAAAATTGGCCCACCTTCTGATAAATATATAGGGCGTTTCAAAACAAACGCGGAAAACTTAAGAAGGTGATTCCTTGCTTAAAACAAATGGATATTTGTTGTATAAATGTTGGGTCAGAAGTCAACCACTGCGCTGCACAAATATGGCGGAAAATTAATATTTTTATTTTTTAGCTGAAAAGCGAACATCGATGAAAGAACAAAATATTACGGAAATATTACTATTAAAAAAAACATTTTCTACATATATTTTTATTTTTTTTATAATGAGTGTATCATCTATCAATCTTTTTAAATAAATTTAAAGAAAAACTTAAACAAAGACATAGGAAAAAATAAATTTCGATAAACGGGTTTATTAGCAACTTTGCTGTCTCTGATAAATAGTTTAGCTGAGTGCTACTAAAGAGAAGTAGTTTGTTTTACCAGCATTTAAAGCTTTTTTTTTAAAGCAATTACATTTTAAAAATAATTTCTTAATAAATATTTCTGAAACTAATTAATCTATTCATGCGTAAACTATGAATAAACACCTGCTTTAAAAACGTTTTATTTAAACAATGTAACTCAAATTATGGCTTAAAAGCTCTTATTATTGACCAATTAAATGGAATTTGAATTTTAAAATGAAATTTTTTATTAAGTTAGTAGTGTTTTCTATCCAAACTAACTAATCAATGTTAAATAAAGCAAGATAAGAGACGCTTTAAGAAGTGACCTCTGGTCACTAGATATTTTTATCTATTTTGTATATCGTTATTTTTTTTAATTTTCACTTTTTTATTTGGAAACAGTAAGTATGAAAAAAAAATGCAGGAGACAAAAAAATATATATTTTTTTTAAATTTAGTTAGTTAAGAAGAATGACCCAATGTTTATAAATCAAACTACTCTTTTCGTATTTGTTTTAAAATCCCTTGTATATGCAGGGTGTTTTGGATAAATGTCATGCTGTTAATTCATTGCAGATCATCAAACCTAAGGTTACGAAATTTTGGACCATTCGAACAAAAATATATCGTTCCAAGCAAGTCTGGTGTTGTTGTCTCTTTTCATAACTGTGCACAGTTTGTCCCATTCTTGCTGGTTTTGCGGCTTACCTTCCTTTTTAGTAAAGCTAGTGTCTTCGTGATGCTCTTTTCAGAAACACACTTTTTCACCAATATGCCATATGTCATATGCCATATGCCAATATGCCAAAACACTTCTTCTTCCTCTCCTCGTTCCTTCTCCTCACGGAGGTTGGATATTATCATTGCTATAATAATCTTGTTAACAGCTGCTCTGAATAGTTGGTTTGATGTCATTCCAAACCATTTCCTTAAGTTTTTGAGCCAAGAGGTTTTTCTTCTCCCTTGACTCCTTCTGCCCTTGATCTTTCTTTCGTTCTGTAGCATTGCATATTTAGGTCCTCTGATCACGTGGCCAAAGTATTCAAATTCTCTTCTTTTTAGAGAGTTAATAATTTCCTCCTGTTCTTTGTAGCAGTTCCAGATTGCAAACCCTGCCAGTTCATGAGATTTCCAAAATTCGCTGATACTTTTACTTTTTTTGTAATAATAATTTATTTAGTTTTCTTAAAGTTCACGTTTAGTCACATGTATCATTTAACATCTGCAGCAGGGTTTGTAGATCTTCAAGCTTGTCCGTAACTATAATGGTGTCGTCCGCATAACGTTATTTAAGTTTAAGTTGTTCAAAATCTGCGCGTTTATAAAGATTCGCTATGATTTTGATGTCTCGTTCTGTAATATTTCTATAAGTTTTTGGTGTTGAACATTATCTAACGCCTTTTCAACATCAACAAAACAGGCGTAGACATCTTGGTTCATGTCGAGACATCGTTGCGCTAATACGTTTATTCTGAACAAAGTCTCTCTAGTCCCCATACCCTTTCTAAAGCCTAATTGGCTATCGCTGATTTCGGAGTCCAACTTAGCGAATATTCTATTATGAATAATTCTTAAAAACACCTTCAAAGTGTGACTCATAAGGGCTATTGTTCGATGAACGGAACATTCTGTGGCATTTTGTTTCTTAGGTAACGTTTTAAATGTAGATGCAAGACATAACTGGAATAACTCCGGTTGAGCATATGATATTAAAGAGATTTACGAGTATCATAATTGTACCTTCATCTATAATTTCAAAAAGCTCGATCGGTATCTCGTCGGGGCCATTTGCTCTTCCTCCTTTCGTCTCAGCGGAGCATCACCGAATCAGTCTCTTCAGCATGGCCAAGGCAGGCCGATCGTCATTGACAAGGTGTTTAATATATTCAGTCCAGCGAATTAGTTTTCGCTTCACATCCGCAATAATACTGCCGTCAGAACTTCTCAATACAGTAGACTGCCTATATTTCTTCATTCCGGTCATTTCTTTCAGCTTCCTATGCAGATTGAAGCTGTCATATCTCTGTTCGTTTTTTTCCACACAGTCACTCCTTATCCAGTCTTCTTTGGCAGATTTATTTTTTCTTTGAACGATGTTGTCGATTTCTTGATATTTGATGCTGTTATTTTTATTCTTACGCCTTTCGTCCGTTAAGCATGGTCTTTCCTCTGTCATTCAACTTTGTCTTACCTTTCGTTCTGAAATTCGCATTTTTTGACTTGCTGTTAAATCGTTTTATATGCTATACCATGTCTCGTTTATTTTAGAAGTGTCTTGAAAATTTGGTATACGCTTTAGGTTGTTATGGACTTTTTGTGTCGTTTAATGAAGTACGCCGCGCTCTTTAAGTTTTCTCACATCGATTCTACATTTATTTACCGCCCGTTTCAATATTTTCAGTCTAACGTTAATACTGGAGACTACGGAGTTGTAATCAGATTTGACGTGGGCTCTTGGGTATGTTTTGGCAAATTTACTACTATGCTATTTGTGCTGTCTGCCAACCAATTTCTTCGTTTGGTAAAACTCCACCAGCCTCTCCCCTCCTCGTTCATTGTACTATCCCATGACAAATCTTTTAGCGCAACTCTCAACTTTGTCCTCTTCAACTTTAGTATTAAAATCACCCATAATTATTGTTGCTTCATAATTTTTGTTTTTTTTTTTTGCGGTTTCGATTTCTTGATAGAAGTTATCGATTTCCTCTTCCTCTTTGTCTGCTGTAGGGGCGTAGATCTGAATCATATTGAGAGGGACCGGGTTTATTTGAAATGTAAGCATCATTACACGATCTGACAGGTGAATAAAAGTCTCTACTGCACTATTTGAGCCTTTGTCCACAATAACTGCGACACCATAACGATGAGCTGTGCTGTTTTCAGAAAAGTACATCATACCATTCTTCGTTGGGCATTTTCCTGACCCTGACCAATGGACATTGCTGACACCCAAAATATTAATATTTAGTCTTTCTATTTCAGCTGCTGTATTTTCCAGCTTTCCCGATACATTAAGGCTTCTTGTTCGCATCCTCTGACCATCTAAGGTCCGCCGGGGACTAAGGGCCATTTGTATTTTGTTTGACCCCATGATAATTGTGCTAGGAAATACAATTTCCGTTGCCTTCCTCGTCGCAGTACCATAACTGTTCAAACTGCTTCAGTCACACTTATGGCATTCCAACAATGAACCGGTCCAGAATAATTTTCTTTACGCCTCATCTTTATAATGGTGGTCTCTGCTTCAATGCACCATGGATGTTTTTCGACCTCCTGATCTAAATCCGTACTGTTCCGTGTTAACAAGGCCACCTCGTGCAGGTTGTGGTTCATCACCACGCAGTACGGTCTTGAATGGAGAGAAGCTCAAGGTTTCCTTAAAGAAGCTAACATCGCATCATCCAGCACTGGGTTTCGTCAGGACCAGTGCCCTAGTCATCCTGAAACAAATGTATCATCTCTCCAAATACCCTTACCACTGTCTAGACCAATTTTCACTTCCAGTATGAATCCATAAATCCATAAAGTTTCTCAAAATTGCCTTATATTTTCACGCACTTGACTTAGCACAGCAAACCTAATTAGATAAAAATCTGTCCTATCCCGGTATTTTTAAGAACATCGTTGCAAAAAAAAAACTACTACTAGCTCAACAAAATATACTAGATTCGATTTAAAATAAAAAATTTGTATCTAATAGAAAAAATAATCAAATAATCTAAAAGGAGTAACGTCTAACTAACTAACAAAACTTATTATTTTGCAGCGATATACGGATAAAACGTATTGTTAACACTAGAGGGCGTCCATTAATACTTGGAGATTTTAAGAAAAATCGACTCTATACTACACACTTTAATAGATTTAATAAAACTTCAGAATTCATATTTAAATAAACAGTTAATAGTTAATTATCTAGCTTGATTGAAAATACCTATTAACTAAAATAAATAATTAAAGTTTATAGGCTAACCAAAAAACTATAACTTATTTAAAATACAAATAAAATATATGCTATATATAAATTTGTAATATTTAAATTTCTCTTACTTTTTGAGACATTTGAGGTTTAAAATAACACCTGTAAAAATATATGGTGTTCCAAATCTTGAGATTTTGTTAATTGAATTCGCCAAAATGGCACCACCTATTTGGGACACCCTGTATAAGCTGAGGAGCTTCTTTAAAACTGATTGAATAGTGCATCATCTCCCTAGTCTGTGGTTAAATTTCCGTTGCAATACCGGGATCAGTAGCGTCACAACACAATTTTATAAGGGCCAATCAAAATATGAAAAAATACCCATAACCTCAATTTCTGCCTAAACAAAGCAAAATTCGAATAGGAATTTCTTAAGAAAGTGACCTTTATTTTAACCAAGGATTACCAAAATGTCGATATATGCAGGGTATTCCATTTAAAATAACAAAGTTGATGTCGAAAGGGGCACTTTTGGGACACCCTGTATCAACAAAATTATAATATTTTAAATCTTCAGGAGAGTCCAAGAAACTTTTGTACGAAACTTTTTTTGTATCTCCTATGGGTTTCCAGATCGTATAGTGGGTCGTTTTATTTGGCACACGTTATACATGTTAATTTTACAATTGTCTCTGTCGAATTTCCTTTTGCTTGAAGCGTTGAAATACAGCCAACAACACGTTTAGGAGCTTTAATTAAAATTTTAAAGTCCGTAGTTCAAACCAGATCATTAACCGGCACACCAATCCCTCGCTATCGCGTTCACAGAGCTTCTGATCCAAAGGGGTCACGTGATCACCAAACCGCACCCGCCGAGTTGCAGATGCGCGGACTGCAGAGTACATTTAGAGAGGGACGACCTGCTGCACGCTGAAAGCCTGCGCCTCAACCTTTACAGGGCCGTCTCCAATCCCGCCTACATTTGCCATTCGACCCACGACCCGATCCTGGCAGCTTTCCAGTTGAGCGAGGAACTCAAAGAGTGCTCGAAGCTGGTGCCCGAGTTCCGTGTCGCATACTCCGAACTTTCAAACGAAATCAGCAACTTCGCGGTAGATCTTATCGCGTGTTGCCGCAGCACCTGCGAGATGGAACTGATCCTGAAGCAACACGCGGGCACCGAATCCTACATCTACAGCTTGCCCAGGTTGGCGCTGGCGATGGACTACAAGCAGAAGACGTTCGTTGCGCATCCGAACACGCAGCAGATTGTGGAAGCCACGTGGTGCGGCGATTGGCACGAATACAAACTCAAATCTGCAGCGGTCATCTATTTGTATCCGGTCTTGCGGATATTCACGCTTCCCATTATCACCCTGATGTGTATGGTGATGCCGAATCACTCGCTCACGAAGCACTGGAGTATCCCGCTCAACAAAATGATCAGTCACGTCTCAGCTTACCTGGTGTTCCTGGTGTTGATATTCCTCGAATCGAACATGGACAAAACCGACCAGAAACGGAAACCTCCGAATTCGGGACTCGAACCTGTGATCATGGTTTTCGTGGCTGGGAACATTTGGAGCAACATCAGGATGCTCGCGTTCATCGGTCCGAAGCGGTACTTCCGGAAAATGTGGAACTGGCACGCGTTGATCAGCAACAGTCTTTTCGTGTTGACGTTTCTGTTTTGGTTGGCTTCGTACCTGGACGCCGTCAACAACGGCCAGGTGGACTTGGAACGGAAATACTGGCACCACCTGGATCCACTTTTGGTCGCGGAAGGCACGTTCGCCGTCGCGACTATAATGACATTCTTCAAGCTGATATTCTTCTGCCGGCTCAACTATTACTTGGGCCCGTTGCAAATATCGCTGGGTAAAATGTGTGCGGACATGGCCAAGTACTTCGTCATCTTCGCTATCATCATAATCTCGTTCACGGCGGGCCTGTGCCGTTTCTACCAGTACTACGACGGCATGGTGCAAGTGGACGAGAATGGCATCAAAACGCAACAGACCTCTTCTTTCGTGGACTTCGCGTCCACGTTGAAAACCTTTTTCTGGGCAATCTTGTGCATGTCCGCCCTCGAATCTGCCGACGTGGTGATCGAAAACTTGCCCGGAGAAGGTCCCGGCGCAACCATCATCAACACCCACGAGTTTACCGAAACTGTAGGCTATATATGTTTCGCCCTTTTCGAAGTCCTCATCGTAGTGATGATCTTGAACATGCTGATAGCGACGATGTCGTCCACGTTTCAACGCGTGCTGGACAATTTGGACGTCGAATGGACGTTCGGCAAAACGGACTTTTATTTAGAGTACATGCTGCAGAGTACTACTCCGCCGCCATTTAATCTCATCCCCACCCCGGCCGGAGTGAGCGTTTTCATCGAAACCATGAACGGCGTCCGTCCGGTGGACAAAGGTCAAAGCACCGTCACGTGTCAGAGGAAACATCCAGGCGATACGGTGGAGAAAAGTATGCACGATATGGAGTTTCCGGCGCTGATGTCGCTGATAGTCCAGAGATACTTCAGGGAGAAGGACGAGGCGAATCAGGACGCCACCGAGATGGATTTGCTCAGGCAAGAGATTCACGAGCTGAAGGCGTTGCTGAGCGACATAATTGCCGAGAAGGAGACATGAGGAACAAGTAGTCCTAGAAGATTAAGATAAACGGCCACAAATCCGATATATGGAATAAATATCATTCTACACTGCAAATATTTATTAGACTCCTACAGAAGTATTGAAAAAAGTTAAAAAATTCAACAAGCTAGTACAAAATCATTTTTTTTAATACACACTCACCGCCAAAAAAACGGGTACTAAAAAGTAGACACAATTTGTAACGATGCTATGTCTGAAATTTTTCTTCAGATTATTAAATATTCAGTTTTATACAAAAGGGCTAAAAGGACACAAAAATGGTTTTAATTTAAATAGAAAAAATTTTGAGGAAGAGGCTAGAATTTTTGACTTAAATCAAACTCTCTGGGAAACAAGTCAGAAGTTCTGAGTAAAAATTCACAAGGTCTGACTTAAGTGAGAATTTCTGAAAAAAGAATTTACGACATAATTATCTCGAAAGAGACATTGTGGATTGAAACGTCAGATGTACCAGGTGGTCCATTAAAAGGACACCGGCCATATCTCAGGAACCCAAGTTAAAAAAAAATATTTGTAGGTAAATCGGCCAAGAGAAGAAGTTAGAAATTATTTTCAAGTTCATAAAATGGCCGCCAGGTATCAGAGGTATGAACGGAGGGTTGATTCTAAAATGATGGAAATTTCTTGGTAAAACACGGAGAAAGGAGGATATTATCATAGTATAGTGCTATTTAATAAAATAACCAGTAAAATATGTCCTGAATATCTATTTCAGATATGATCCTCATAATTTGGACTTTAGGCATAAAAGCAGTATATCGCCTCCCCCTCACGAAACATTACTCTTTATGAGATTCTTTTCCTATCAGGTTTGTTTAAATTATAACAGGATCCCTCTTAGCCTTACAATTTTACCTCCTACAATATCTAAAACCTGCGTATGCCTGGAGTGCATGCTCCACTTATCTTCTTCGTCTTTTGTTACTTACTTTTTGTGATATAAACAAATTTATGTAAAAAATGTTTAACTTGGGCTTTTCTTGTTTCCCTTCTTTCTATTGTTTTGTATTTTGTCTTGTGTTTTTATTCATTTTGTATATTCTACCGGCCTGTCCTGTATTAATGAGTAATTTTCCTCCCATCATTGCAACTGCGGGTTAAGTAAGGCTGTATAACATTTCTTTCGGCTTTTGTGATGTGTTCTTCTAATGTATTTAGAATTAAGTCATATTATTATTATTATAAAAAAAATCTGATATAACATCATCTGAGGAATCAATCTACAAATTAAAAAAGAATTATCAGAATCGAAAAGAAAACCAAATTTAAATTTGGTTTTCAGTGGCCGTTTACGGTGACTGTGTAAAGACTTAAATCAACCAATATTAAGGATATTTTAATAAACTGTATAGTCATAGTTCGTAGGTAATTGAAATTGGTGGTTGTATCTGCAATTAATCAAAATAATTCTTAATATTATCCTCAATCTAGCAAAGAGCGGCGTGTTAATCAATATATAAGTCGGACAAGACTGTGCTTATGCAAGATAATACAGAACTAGTAAGGCCCTCTATTAACTACAGCTGTTCCCAACAAATTTTATTTTCTAATTATTTATATTGAAAAGAAAGTATATCGTTTACTCCTTATATATTTATTGAAAAATTTATTGCACAAGTAAATATAAATTATGCTCGAGCTTTAGCGCCACCTTGTCGCGCCATCATTAAACATCCGAGCGGTTCTCAGCATAAGTTTCGCGTTCAATTCAGCTACCACCTAACAGATGGCGCATCATTTGGGTTTTGGGTTCGGCCAGTTTTTTAATTTTTTTGTTTTTTATATGGGCAATTTCAAATTTAGTGGCGGTTCAAGTGCCTGTTACCAATTTGGTTACTCCGCGAGTATACGAATATTGATAGTTTTAATCCCATAACTTGGAAATATGGATGAGACAAATTGATTTCAGGTGAAAAAGTTAAAAAATAAGGGCCGTAAAAGGCTTTGGAAGCAAAAAACAATATAAGTAAGACGTGTACTTTGACACCCGAACGAGCTTACAGTTGGACAAGTCGTGGGTGCTTCCGGCGCCCTTTAAGCGACCTTGAAATTACATTTTTTGGTCGACACAATTTTAATCGATTCAATGAATCGACGAAGCGTCGCAGAAACGTTTGCACGAATCACGGACACTTTGTTGGGAGTAAAATTAGCAAACCGCATACATTTCATAGGACGTTCCATTTTAAGTCAATTAGAGTTTATTGCGTGGGTACATATGGCGCGGCTCAAATTGGCGTGAGAAATGTGGAGTTTGATTCATTTTCGCACACGAAAATCTTAAGTGACGTGTAAAAACGCAATTCGCCGGTAACATTAGTTATAGGGTAAAATAAAGAAGTAATGGCCACAATAAATCTTTTTTTTTGTTAATTGTTTCTGAAACGGTTAAAGATACCTAAAGGTAGGTATGCAAAAGGGCTACAGAGTGACCCAAGAAATAGATAAGCCACTTTCATTGTTTGGCGTTTAATTGATAGCAAAATTATTTCCATTAATCCACTGCAGGTATGTACCATCGGGGTTTGAGTTGAAAATGTATATACCAATGGCGTTCCGGTAGGATACATGTCAAAAGCAAAGAATTTTATTTTAACAGAATAAAAATTAGGCATTATGTACAATAGAAAATTTTCATTGGAAAACGGGTCAAAAAAATAGTTTTTTCATAAATTCTAGAGCCTTACAAAAATTACTAATTGAAAACGACTTGTCCCCCCACTCTTTTAGCGACAGAATGTGGTTTGCAATGCAGCAAGAGGTTATTCCAGCCAATTTATTTCAATCAATCAATCAAACCACTTTATTTGCAAGACTATGTGCAAACAAGGGTTATTGTTCTTTACCCTTGCTAGGAATTGAACATACCTGTGAGTAAGTATAAGAAAATAATGTTATATATATTTTGTTCTGGCAACTAACCAATTAATCATAACTGTTTATGCTCTGCTTCATAATGCCAGTAACTTACAAACCATTGTTTAACTGTAAAACTTAGTGGCTTTAGCTGAATGACATAGGCGTAGTATTGTACGTTTGTTGTTGTCAAGGATCCCGAGAGTGGCACGTAGCAGGTCACGATAGTCTATATTGCAATTTATGCAGAGGCCAAATATCACATCTAACATATGTTCTGATAGTGGAACAGCATGTTTCATTCGCACAGAGCCTTCTTTCCTTATTTGAGGTGTAAAAAAAGAACTTCCAGATCTGCTTGACAAAGATGCTGAAAGTCTACCTGCACCCCTATCTGGTGTTCTATATTTTGAAAGATTCACAATATCAGTATTCACAATATCTATGCGAGAATCGCGCTGCGAAACAGAATTATGATTTCCTATATTGTATATGTCTATCATCCATACAAATCAACACCATGACTATTTTTTTTTATGTTGCACAACGGCAAGCGTATTTGTTTGCCGTGTAATGAATCAAGTTCAGAAAAAATAAAATCCAGAAGATTACCACAAAATTGGAAAACGGCAGCAAATGTCTCATGAACAAAGAACACGACATGATAATGTGAAAGCTAGTTTTATAGTTTTTGTTCGCAGAAGGAGAATTTAGAAGTTTGCACTGTTTTGCGTCCTTAATAAAAGCAACATTGATAGCTGGTTTGAAATCATTTTCTCCCAGGCTATGTTTATTCGAAGTGTTGATAAAGAGTTCACCGTTACCCAGGAATTGCTTGCTTTGCAGCCGCTAAAAGGGACCACTCCCGAGGAGGATATTTTCATTAAGTTCAAAAGGTATTGAGAAGTTTTTGTTTGCCATTTACGTCCGACTTACGTAAAGATCTAATCCGAATTTTGAATGAAAAAGCAACTGAATTAAATGTGCAATAATATGACCTGACCATTAACCACCAACATAACTCGTGTTCTAAGACTCCATGGCAGTAAAAACTATCAATTTTCAAAGGCGTCGAATAGGATGACGTAACATATTATTGTGAAATCAAGAAATGGTTTTACGAGCTTAGAAACGAAATAGCAGATGTTATGCAAATAAAAGATAAACCACTATCTGAATTAAGTGACCCACAATGGACTTGGAATTCCTCGTCGACTTTACTCGGAATGAATCAAATTTGAATCTTCAAAAACAAGGAGAAATTAAGCGATTTCAAAAACATGGAAGACTGTTGATACTTGGAAGACAATTTTCCGCAACTTAGACAATTCACAAAAAGATTGATTTGTGTGTTTGGTAGTACTTATATTTGGGAACAGTTGGGAACGGTTTTACAAGGTTGCCCCACGATAATTTGGAAAATTGCTTGCTGATGTTTCGGCAATCATCCTGTTGGCTTCTTCAGAACTTAACTCAAACCAGGCAGTTTTGGTTAAGCTCTGAAGAATGATTGGGGAAACTGCAGCAAGTTTGATTCATCAACAACCGACTCGGCAGAAACCCAGAAGATTTGTAAAGTGGTATTACAGTAGCCTGTGGAAATGTGTTTGAAAAATTACAAATTTCACGATTTAATTATAAGGTGGCACCTACTGTTTTCATTTCATTTGGTTACTTTAATAAATTGTATTATAATAACAATGTCTTATTATTTCAACACTACTCTAAAACATTACTTATAAATACCTGTTATACTAAGTTGATGCAATCGTTATTGTCTACCCAACGGACAAAAATAATCTATCTATCTATTAATATTTACCTGTAGACTTTTTGTCCATTTTTTGCTTGGCAGTTGAATTCCTCTAAGCCGACTATTTTCTCATAAGCAAAAAAACCTAAATAAGAACCTATATATGAAGCTTCAGTTCTGCAACGGATATAAAAAAAACAATAAACTCATTTGGAATGGGTACATCTACAGCAAGGCATTATCCAAAAAGCGTCATTTCTGATAACAATAACAAAAGTTCGGATTCACTTAAGCAAAAGATTTCGCGTTTCTTATGTGCAACGCTAGCAAATTAAGGATAAACTCACATAGCTATTAGGTAAAATACTCAGAATGGTAAAAAATGAGATTTTGCAAACTGCATTGATATTTTCGTTCATCCAAAATTAT